AATTTTTAGGCAAAAAACAAAACCGACTTCAATTATAATATAAAAATTTAAGATTATCGTTAATTTCTTCACGCTCCAATTGTCGAATCTAAACAAAATTAGCATGGAATCACCCTTAAGGTACCACCTTTCCGATGAAAAAAGAAAAATCGGTTAACGTGGTCCAAAGTTATGCGGTCACATACATAAAAAAAATAAGAAACATTCCGACGAATTTATAGCCTTATCCTTTTTGTGAAGTAGGCTAAAAATTAAATCAAAAAAGAAAGTTAACAAAAAATGTTATTTTTATTTTTAAAAGATAACTAAAAATTAAAAGAAAATTCATTTAAAAAAGAAAATCAAGTTAAATTAAAAAAAGCGATGAATAAATAATTTTCTAAAAATCTAGGTTACAAATAAAAAAAAAAAAATCTGGAGAATGTCCGTGGCCGGCGTTTGTCTTGGTACTCCCAGGGGGCCCGCACCACGGACAGAGCCTATGGGCCCATAAATAAATATTAACAGCTATCCCTTATATGTACAAAGACATAAAGATCCTTTAGTTTGGGCTAGCATAGTCGCAAAGAATTTCCAAATTTAATTACACAGGTAATGAAGTATATCTGTGCACCACCTTTTCCCTATTGAACTCAAAAAGTGTGTTTAGTGCATCGGGTAGCATTTATGTTGAAAACAGAAATAGGTTGTTGCGGAAATGCTTTTTTTATATTGAAAAATATATGAAACACCCTTCTTCATATCGGACACCAAATTTGGTGTCACACTTTCGATTGGCTTCAACCTTTTTTATGGGTTAATGGATTTCATCAAATTACAACTCCCACATCATTTAATGAAACAAATAAAAACAATTTAGTCACGACTTTTTCCATTTCAGTTAGGATGTTGTTACGTCTTTTTGCATTTCAGGTGACGATATATAGATTAGTTCAGATTTTTTTTTTTTGTAATTTTATAATGAAATTTAATAGTATTTATGTAATTTGTAATTAGCATTAAAATGTATATGAGACATTCTTTTTTAAGTCGGACGGATTTCGTAAAAAAAATTATGCCAAGTCTCCGATTCGCTTCAATTTTTTTATGGGTTCTTTACATGAAATAAGCTAACACGTGTTCTAGGAATTTTTTTTTTTCTTTTTTTTCTTCGGAGATCTGTCAAAGTTTGCATTTTTTCGTGATTCTGACTATTCATGTACTTCTTAAAATCGTTATATCACGGGTTCTGCTCTTCGTAGAGACTTAATCTTAACGTCATTTTAAAGCTAAAGAAACGGGCTTAACATTTCTATATATAAGATGGTCAAGGTTATCCTAAAGCTAACTTAGCTATTAACAGTTGAACTTTTTGAAGTTGATTTGCATAGTGAAGACCAGTAAATTAGGGATTTAAAATTATACCATAGTATTCCTTGTTTAATTCTCTAAAAATTTCAAAAAATTGGGCGTTTTTCAGGAACTATTATTAAAATAATTTTTTTTTATGACGAGATGCTTTTTTTTATGAGAGTCAACAAATTTTTGTAATTTGTTTACGAAAACTTATGATAACATATATTTAGAAAGGTGTTAATAATCGGGTTTTTGCAAGAATTTAAATTTTATTGCAGATTTCGATAGAATACCTATATATATAGAATACGTATCCAGATATAATATTTGTACGGCAAGATTTTTCGGTAAGGCGAAAAACTCCTAGGAATGGGCGTGGCAATTGCAGGACTAAATTTAGCGAAACGCAGATTTTATAGCGGATTTCGGCAGAATATCGCTTCGTTAACAACATTTGTTCCACAACTTTTTCAATCAAAGAACATTCTAGAAATGGGCGTGGCTATATCAAAACCAAAGTTGAAAAATTTCGGCTTTATTGTGCATTTCGCCAGAATATCTATATGGATTGAAAAAGTTGTGAAACAAATATTGTTGTTGTTGTCGTTTTGCTAACTTTATTCCTGCAATTGCCACGCCCATTTCTAAGGGTTTGTCGCCCTAAAGAAAAATCTTGCCGTACAAATATTATATCTGGATACGTATTCTATCGGAATCCGCAATAAAGTTTTACTTTTTGCAAAAACTCGATGCTTAACACCTTACTGAATATATCTCAAAATAAGTTTTCGAAAACAAATTTAAAAAAATGTTGATTCTCACAAAATAAACCATCTCGTTATAAATAAAAATATTTTAAAAATAGTTCTTGAAAAACGCCCATTTTTTAACTACGTTTTTTATAGAGAATTAAACAAGGATTACGATGGTATAACTTTATCCCTAATTTACTGATCCTCAGTATGCAAATCAACTTCAAAAAGTTCAACTGTTAATAGCTAAGTTAGCTCTAGGATAACCTTGACCATCTTATATATAGAAGTGTTAAGCCCGTTTCTTTAGCTTTAAAACGACGTTGAGATGAAGTCTCTGCGATGAGCAGAACCCGAGATATATCGATTTGAAGAAGTACATAATTAGTCAGAATCACGAAAAAATGCAAACTTTGACAGATCATATCTCCGAAGAAAAAAAATATAAAAAAATTCCTCGAACACGTGTTAGCTTATTTCATGTATAGAACCCATAAAAAAATTGAAGCGAATCGGAGACTTGGCATAATTTTTTTTACGAAATCCGTCCGACTTAAAAAAGAATGTCTCATATACATTTTAATGCTAGTTACAAACTACATAAATACTATTAAATTTCATTATAAAATTACAAAAAAAAAATCTGAGCTAATCTATATATCGTCACCTGAAATGCAAAAAGACGTAAAAACATCCTAACTGAAATGGAAAAAGTCGTGACTAAATTGTTTTTATTTGTTTCATTAAATGATGTGGGAGTTGTAATTTGATGAAATCCATTATATCAATCAAAAACTGAATTTTGAATTTTTTATTAGTTACGACTTTTTCAATTTCAGCGACGATGTTTGTTAAGTCTTTCTGCACTTCAGGTGACGATGATGTAGCAGTATTACATAAATATTTTGATACTTCTTCAAATATAAAATCTATTGTGAAACAGAAGAAAACGGCATCCCTATGATTTCAACTTATGCCAAACGTTTGAAATATGAAAGAGAAATTACATAAATAAGCAATTTCTGAACAAACCAAAATGTTTTTGCACAAAGATGTTTAAATGGAAGCTATACACATATAAAAAATAGCAATCCACAATGCTTATTGGCAGGAGGAGAAGGGCATTTCAACCAGTTCTCGTCCTTTTTAAAGAACATTTCAAAAAAATAAGCTTCTAGTTTCGAAGCTAGCATTTATTTGTTTGTTGTTTACAAAAGAATACTTGGCAAGAATATCACTCAAAATTATAAAATATATAACGCTTTCATTCATTAATTCATAGAGTTGGCGCTTCTTTTATAGGAAAATTCATACGGCTTATGACCAGATTCATACCATGTGAATGCACCATTAAGGTATCCACTAGGAATGTTAATCCCGGGATCCCGGGATTCTTGGCAAACAATCCCAGGATTTTCGGGATTTGTAATTTGCACTGATAATATAAACTTCATTTTCTTGACCAGTGTTGGTTATATTTCTTTTTTTTATTTAAGAATTCATATTTTTTTATAAATGTATACATATAACACCGTGCGATAGTAAATTTTACACACAAAAATCAATATATTCGCGAAACCATGGGACAAATATAGTAAAATTGTTAAAAATTATTTAACCGGCATCCATCGCTTGTATCAAATTGATGGAAATTTCGAAAACGTGTTAAAATATTTAGAAAAATAGTTAATGTTTTGAATTGGTTTTTTACTACAAATGCGTATATATAGATCTTTAAACATTTTTATTCTTATTATCAGAAAATGAAGAAACTTTGGTCATTAATAAAAAAAATCCAACATTTCATTGAATTCTAGGGTCTTTTTCCATATATATCAAATTGATGCACAACGTGCTTTGTGTTACAAACAATTTCCGATGGATGCAGGTTAAAAAATTCAGCGAAATGTCTTTAGAGAAGAAGTATGGGTATTAAATTAAAAAGGAAGTTTTGTAGAATTTATTCAGATTAAATTTTTTTAGTACATAAGGACTAGTAAGTATTGAAAATGTCCTTTTAAAATTGTATCCTTGAAATTTCGCAATATTTGCCTTTCGAAAAAGGACTTATATAAATTCGATAAAATCCCCGAATTTCATCCTTCTAACTTTATCAGCTTAAAAAATTACCTATTCGTCCTTGTGAATCCAAAAAATTGTAATTTTATAAATTCTAAAGAAATTTCCTCTTTCATTTGGTACCCATATTTTTATTCTACATTGCATTGAAATTTTGAAATAATTTTTGGAATTAATCGTATCTTTGAAATTACAAAGTCCTTTAAAATAAATCCTGACGTCACACAGTGCCGCGACTCCATACAAATGATGGACAAAAATAGAAGGAGTGGTCAGAATTGGCTGAAACTTCACACCTAAAAGTATTATGCCCCTCTAATTTCAAAAATGAAATCGGTTTTTCTGTACCGGTTACTCATTTCGAGAAAACCGAGTTTTTCTTGCATTTTGATATGAAAATAGTCATTGTGGACATGTGTTGATATAAGTGGAAGGAGGCATCAGAATGGGCTGAAACTTTACACCTGAAAGGACTATATCACGGCAATTTAAGAAAAAAAAAAAACGTTTTTCAGCATCTGTTACCATTTAATTAAAAAAATTTTTTTTTTACAATTTTATAAAAAGGTAAAATAACTCATAATCATCGTAGACATATGTTTATAAAAACCGAAATAGTATTCAGAACTTGTTGAAACTTTACACCTAAAAGGACTAAGCCATGCTTATTTCAAAAATGAAATCGATTTTTCGGTACCGGGTACCCATTAAAAAAAAAAAGATTTTTTTTTACATTACTATATGAAAGACAAATAAGGCATAATCATTGCTGATTGTGGTGCTTACGAAAACAGGAAGAAGTCGTCAGAATTTATTGAAACTATACATCTGAAGTGTCTATATTACTCTAATTTTAAGAAAGTAATCGGTTTTTTTGTAACGGGTACCCATTAAAAAAACACCGAGTTTTTGCACATGATTATTTAAAAATGAAATATGGCATATCATTGTTGCTAAGTGTTCAGAAAAATAGTCTTAATAGTCAAAATTCGTCTAAACTTTACTTCCTAAGTGAATACATTATGGTAATTTGAAAAATTAAGTCGGTTTTCCTTACATGTTAACCTTTAGAAAAAAAAATTCTTTTGATTTCATTTAAAATAAAGCATAATCACTGTTGAGTATGTAAGTAATAATAGCTGTTATATGGTAATAACATATAATATGTTAATAAAAACCGAACTAGTTGTTATAATCACTCAGTTTCAGAGTCCTCAGAAGAGGAGGAAGTGATCACTGATTCAAATGATTCCATGCTTTTGTCTGCTTCGTCACTTTCAACAATGTATTTATTAAAGCTGAGATCAGAACCCTTTAAATATTTGTTTCTCTGTTTTATATTTCTTTTAAATGCAACTAATGGATCTGACGATAATATCAAACGAGTCATTAAATCCGTATTGCTTTGTAGTCTTCCAGTTTTTCGAGAACGATTAAGCCGATATTTTCTTATGTTTTTGTGTGAACATTCTAAGGCTTCTTCTGATAATGAACCTGATAAAATAGGTGGAAATACAGAATAAGAAAATAAATGAAAACATAGCTTTAAAATCATTACCTATTGGTAAATCAAAGTATTTAATTACATCACATCCATGTACTAAAACTTTATGCACTGAACTTGGCATGTTATACCAACCATAATTTCTAAGGTATAACTCTCTTGTTTCGTTCAACAAAACACTAAACTCTTGGGTTTTTATTTGTTTTCCACAAGAGAGGACTCTTAGCACCAGAGAAAAATTCATGAAATTTTAAACTCGCGTTGAGCAACATTTTCCACTAATAGTAAAACGTTGAAATTTTTGCACAGGTAATGTAATTAGTTAGGTGAACAAAATTATAAAAAGACTCAATCAAAAAAAAAAAATATAAAAAAATTGGACCTCCCTGATGTGTATACATTTATACTATCATTTTCGCAAGCTGTTTTTTTTTGCTGCTTAAGCAAAATAGTACTCTTTATGCAGATGAAGAGTAATAGGTATGTTATTTATTTTTATTTTCTTTTTGTTCGCCTTTCGTCTAATCATTGGGCGCTGTAAGGTGTCTCGATTGCATTTATTTCCTTACCCGAATTGGTTAACATATTATTTGTAAACTGGTGTCATTGCTCTATATATATATATATATATGTATATATATATATATGTAAATCTTCGTATACCTTTGTTTTTGGCTCCCATACCGTGATGCATATTTAAGTATTTTAATTAGCTGATAATTTTTTTCATTTCAAAGCACCCTGTACCTCTTAATTTTTTTTTTGGCACTTTTAGCTTTAATTCAACACCTTATTTTTGAAAAGCGAACCAAAAATTTAGATCTTAGGGCATTCAGAAAAAGTATTGTAAATATAGATCAGCTAAAATAATACCAAAAAAAGGCATTTAGTCACTTTTTCAAAATTGAAAATTTTCAAATATTGGAAAAAGTTGGAAGAGATTTCGATTGTTTCTGTTAGTAGAAGGTCCAAACTACCATAACCAAAAAAAAAATTTCACGAACTTTCAAGATGTTTTTTTTTTTTTGTCTCCAAAGTTTACCAATTTTCGGATTTTGGTATGTTTAATCATATATTTATTTATTAATAAAAAAAAAATATTTGTATAAATTTTTTTTCCATGAACCATACATTTTTTGGTTTGTCGCATATATCTTTATCAAAGTGCAAAAGTTGATCTTGCTAGGAATAAAAATGTATTTTTAACAAATTTTTAACTGCGACCACTTTTATGTGCGAATCGCCGAAATGAAATGGTATGTAGAAAATAGGTGTACTTTGAGGGGGTGTGTGAGGCTGAAAGTTGTTTTTATCACAAAATAACTTATGAACTTCTCTTAGTTGGAGATTTAGCTGTAACTTGACATCAAAACATCTAAGTTTCAAGACAGTCGATTTTTGTATTTTTGTCCACCTTCGCGGCACTGTGCGTCAGAGAGCAAAAATAAAAACGCCACTTTAAATAAAAAAAACAATTTATTTTATGATAGGAGAGATAGAAGCATTTTTTTCTATTTATGTTGTTGAAAAGTAATGAATATCTAAATCCCGGGACTAATCCCGATTGTGATAACAATATCCCGAAAATCCCGGGGTCGCAAAAGCGGAAAAATTAACATCCCTAGTATCCACACACCTATGCGAATCTGTTCCTACAAAAATTACAACAATGCCGACTGAAAACAAAATTGAACGTAAGAAACCAAAACAAATTTGATGTAGAAAAGTTAAGAATTTTATTTTTGCTGAGAAATATCTTTTGTTCGTCTATAAACTGACAGTTTTTACTGCGATAAAATCGCACAGATGTGTGCGTACTTGCGTTTTTGAAGCAGTAACGTCTGTAGCAGGGTTGTTGCGAATATTCGCATTCGCAACCGCGGAGCTTCCGCATTAACTTTAACATTCGCATTCGCTTTCGCATTCGCAATAATCAAACAAAATGACAAATTGTGTCCATTTTGTCTCCGTACGTCCCAATTCTTTTGTAATTCTTTAATTAAAGAGTAAGATCCGTCAATAGGTATTTCCAGCGGAAATGTTCAACATCTGGCTATAAAGAGAATCGACTATCCGTGCCAAGATCTATACATAGAAGGTCGCGCAATGCGCGAATTAAAAATTGCCTCTCTGCGCATATAGTCCCAGGGCGATTTTTTGCTTTCACGCCTTCATGTCAAAAAAGCCACAAAACCTGATTTTTCACAGCGGCCAATTTCTGCGAAATTTTCACCTCAACTCGCTATGTCTCGGACGTTTATGTATCGATTGATTTGAAATTTGTACACAATAAACTAGATACTATTCTAAAGAAGATGAGTCTAACTACACTTCTTAATCTACTATATATTTGTGGAAGTATGTATGTATGTATGTATGTGCCACCTTGCAGTCTAAACGGACGGACAGAATCGGACAAAATTTTGACAGAGTATTGCCCTGACTTCTGGGCCTATAATAGGGTGAAAAAATTGGGATCCTACAAGGCGTGGCACCTCCCATAGGCGTGAAATTTTTAATTAGCCATAACTTCGGAACCATAAGACATATGACCTTGAAATTTGGTATGCAGTAGCTGCTTATAGGAGGGTATATATAAATGAGTTTGTGCCACTCCCATAGGCGTGGAATTTGTTATCAGCTATATCTTCGGAACCATAAGTCCCAAGAACTTGAAATTTGGTATGCAGTAGCTGCTTATAGGAGGGTATATATAAATGAGTTTGTAAAAGGGGGCGTGGCACATCCCATAGGCGTGGAATATTTTGTCAGCTATAACTTCGGAAAAATATGCCACATGAAATTGAAAATTGGTACGCAGACTTATCTGTGGTAGGTGCTTATAATAGGCCCATCGGCGTGGAATTTTTTATCAGCTATAACTTCGGAACCATAAGTCCCAAGAACTTGAAATTTGGTATGCAGGCATGTCTATGGTAGGCGCTTATAGTATGGCATATATAAATGAGTTTGTAAAAGGGGGCGTGGCACATCCCATAGCCGTGGAATTTTTTATCATCTATAACTTCGGAACCATAAGTCACACGAACTTGCAATTTGTGCAGACATTTTAATAGTAGGTGCTTATAGGAGGGAATATATAAACGAGTTTGTAAAAGTGGGCGTGGCACATCTCATAGGCGTTGAATTTTTTATCAGCTATAACTTCGGAACCATACGTCACACGAACTTGAAATTTGGTATGCAGACATATCAAAGGTAGGTACTTAACTTCGGAACCATAAGTCACACGAACTTGAACTTTGGTATGCAGACATATCAAAGGTAGGTACTTAACTTCGGAACCATAAGTCACACGAACTTGAACTTTGGTATGCAGACATATCAAAGGTAGGTACTTAACTTCGGAACCATAAGTCACACGAACTTGAACTTTGGTATGCAGACATATCAAAGGTAGGTACTTAACTTCGGAACCATAAGTCACACGAACTTGAACTTTGGTATGCAGACATATCAAAGGTAGGTACTTAACTTCGGAACCATAAGTCACACGAACTTGAAATTTGGTATGCAGACATATCAAAGGTAGGTACTTAACTTCGGAACCATAAGCCCCATGAGCTTGAAATTTGGTATGAAGCCATATCAATAGTAGGTGCTTATATGAGGGTTTAAATGAGTTTGTAAAAGGCGGCGTGGCGCATCCTATAGGCGTGGAATCCTTCATCAGCTATAACTTCGGAACCATAAGTCCCACGAACTTGAAATTTGGTATGCTGACATATCAATGGTAGGTGTTTATAGGAGGGGATATATAAACGAGTTTGTGAAAGGGGGCGTGGCATATCCCATATTCGTTGAAAGGTTTCTCAGCTATAACTTCCGATTCATATGTCGCATCAACTTTAATTTTTGTATGCAGTTATATACATATTTGGTAGGTGCTTATAATAAGGTCTATATAAATGAGTTTGTAAAAGGGGGCGTGGTGCGTCCCATAGGCGTGGATTTTTTTATCATCTATAACTTCGGAACCATAAGTCCCTCGAACTTGAAATTTAATATGCAGACATATCAATGGTAGGTGCTTATGAGAGGGGATATATAAACGAGTTTGTAAAAGGGGGCGTGGCACATCCCATAGGCGTGGAATATTTTATCAGCTATAACTTCGGAACCATAAGCCCCATGAACTTGAAATTTGGTATGAAGACATATCAATAGTAGGTGCTTATATGAGGGTTGATATGAATGTGTTTGTAAAAGGGGCCGTGGCGCATCCTGTTGTAATTAGAATTTACTACGCTATTGTAAATGATCATTATGAACTTTATGAACTATAGTCGATAGGTGTCACTGATTGTTAAGTGAATAGCACTAAGACGAAATGTCAAAACAAAATGAAATGTATATAGAGAAGAATATCTTTAATAAACTCCTTCCCTTTTGCGTGAAATCGGCTCTAGAAAAAGACGTGTTTTTCTATATGTTATGGGCCAAAGCACCAAAAATAATTACTAAAACTCATCGTTTATTAATTATATCAGCGTTTAAGCATCAGCGGTCTGGGGCGTAAAGTTATCGTTTTGCAACATTTGGTATCTTTAAAATTAAAAGATCGATGGGTGATTATGTGAACAAAATGATGATTTTGTGGGCGAAAGTAAAAAAAAGTCGGTTTTAAAATAGATTCAGATGTTGTCGGAACCTTAAGGCTTGGGGGACTGACTGACGAATATCGTCCGATGGTAATGGCCATCGAAAATAGTGGCCAAGAAATGACAGCTGATAATATAAAAACTTTATTAATGCAAGATGTTTCTTTTGAGCAACACAACAATGAGTTAGCTCTTCTGTCGAAAGCACTAAAAAAAAAAGTATATAAGCAAGGTATAAGGTATAAAGAAGTTCAAAGGTAAATGTTACGAGTGTGGAGAACAGGGCCACATAGCTAGAAATTGCTCACGGAAAGGTGACAAGAAAGTTGGACTGTATACGTCGTTTGTTGCCCAAATGTCATCAAACAATTGGTTTGTTGACTCAGGTGCATCAGCGCACATGACATCTAACATTCAGAATTGCAAGAATTTTCGAAAAATGGCCATCAGTGAAGTGATTACAGCGAATAGTTCCAGGCTTGAAGTGAAGGGTGTGGGAGATGTTGAAATGTTGTCAGCGTGTAGAGATAAAAAAAGTGATCGTGCTAAAAGATGTACTCTACGTTCCAGATATTTGCGCGAATTTACTATCAGTTAGCCAGCTGACTAGTCGCAACCTAAAAGTTTCTTTTACAAAAAAAGGCTGCCATATTGTTGATAGCAGCGGAAATTTACTGGTACGTGCGGCAATAGTTGATGGTATGTACAAACTGAATATCCATTCGCATCCTAATATGT